CACCAACCCACCGACGCCCCCTCCCCCACCCCAGCGCTGCATCTTCTCTACAGCGATGCGTCAGAGGCCGGCAGCACACTGTGCTTCTGCATCTGAAAGAAAACTCAGCTAACCCAGGAAGGAATGAAGGCTTATTACAGGACAGCCTCTCCCCGCACAGCCGAGTCGCATGCTTGTCGACACAGGTCAGACACATGCTGCGACCTCGCTTAGGCATCGCGGTGTGCTCCTGTCTGCTGCTGCCTTTGCCCTGTCACTTCACAGCATTTCCATGCAGAAGCCGGGTCTCCTATGTCAGGGGTGAGCCTGCCGGGGCCAGAAATCCTCCCTCCACTGAATACTGCAGGTCCCCGGTTCCAGAATCAGGACACAAAACTACTTCCCAAATGCCTCTGGTTCCACAGCAACTTTCAGACATTTTTGTCATTATTGAGCATGATGAGCAAGCATTCAACAGTTACATGAACTTAAAGTCACATTTCAAATGTATCTTCCATGTAAGCGACACATATACATTTTACTAATATATTTTTAAATTTCTAATGTGGTTTTTCTTCGCCTTTGAAAATATCCTAATTTTAAGAATCACTTCTCTATAATTATCAGGACCACTAACATTCTGTTCAAATTCGAATTATCTATGAAGCCCTAAAGCAAGGAAAAAACAGCACAGCTCCCCAAACCCCCTCCTTGATGCTAACAGGGATCTGCCACAGCCAACCCCACGGGCACGCCGAGACCTCATCCTGGGACTTACTCATCTGCTCTGACTTTTTTTCTTAAAGGCTCATGTTGTCTTCAATGAAGTAGAAAAAAAAATGTAACTTTCACAGGAGAATGGGATGGGGAGGGGCTGGAGGGAATCGGGGTTATAAAGATTATCTTGTAACTAGGGAAACAACAATGTGTGTTGTAATCAATGCCCAACGAATGATTCGGAAATTCTAATCCAACTGTTCCTACTTCAAACCACCAACCTTTGCCCTGCTCAAACAGCATCCCTTGGAAAACTCCAGCCAGTTGAACAGAAACAACCCACGTTCTCAGTGAAGCTCTTGAGAACCAGTGTAACCAGAAGCCAGTCACCCTTACCGGGATCAGCTAGCTCCAAGATGTGGTGACGTGCCCACTGTCTCACCACCGTGGTCTACTTTGAGGGAAAAGACACTTCTGCACCTTTCCTTGGGAGATCGCAGGGCACTGAGAGCCTGAGGCCTCCCCTTGTCCCCGGTACTCATTCAACAAGGGAGGGCAGAAGTAAAAGCTTCCTGCGTAACTGTCAGCTATTTCATGGACCGAGGAAGAGGAGGCCCAGAAGCCCGAGCACCTGGAAAACGGCAAGACTCTTTTTAGGAGCCGTGGGTGATGGAACGGGCTGCGCATCCAGCGCCTCACCAGAAGCTCCCGGGAGCCCAGCGCGGGCGACTGCACAGGTTCTGGAATCCGCGCCAGACCCGAAGCCTCGGGGCCCGGGGCACAGATCCCAAACAACACATAAAATGCACACACGGGCTAGAGCTGCGCAGCACTGACAAGGCGGGCGCCTGCACGAGGCACGTCATCCAGCACATGCGGACCTGTCAACAGTGAGAGGAGGGGGGAGGCCAGAGGGACAGCACGGAAGCGCCCAGAGAAAACGGGACGAGCGCACCGGAAACCTGTGGCAGCAGAGACACCGACGAGCCAGCACTGCTGCGTCTCAGCGCTCCTACGTGGGGGCCGTTCGCTTTCTCAAAGGTTTTCTGATCTTTTTCTTTTACCAAAAGCAGAATAAAAGCCCTAGAAGGAGTGAAGCCGCCGAAAGGGGCGGAGCAGGAGTCGCGCGTGCGCACACGCATTACCTGCCTGCGCTCGCGGCGGGTCAGGCTGTGGCCGTTGAGGATGCGCCAGAGCATGCGCGCGGCGATCTTGGTGTCGATCCAGAGCAGGCGGAAGCCGTGGTAGTAGTGCTTCAGCTCGTCCAGGACCCTCTGCCCCAGGGACTTCTTCTCGGCCACCTCCGCAGGGGGGCTGTACACGGGGCCCCCCTCCTCCAGCTTCTTGTTCTTGTCCTTTAAGGACTTGAGCGACTTCTCCACCATGGAGTCGTCGCCCAGACGGGGCGACGAGTGCCAGCAGCGCGTGGGAAGGAACCGCGGCCCGGTGACGAGCAGACCCGCCAAGGCCGGGGCCCACGGTGCTAGGGCCACGGCGCACCTGCGCTCGGGCCTCGGAGTCCAGCCGCCCAGGGAGTCGCCTCGGAAAGAAAGGTATACGGGGTGGACGGGAGCGCAGCTGCCCAATGGAGCACGCCTGCAAAGGGAGAGAGTACAGTGAGGTCTCTGGCTGCTCACCGGATCTCGACCACACACCCAGTCCACTCAGCGCATAAGCGAACGCCCCACCGCTTCCGAGGCCTGGAAAACACAGCCGGGGAGCCCTTCCACTCCAGGGCTGGGGTGAAGGCGCTGCCCCACAGCAAGAGCGGCAAAGCCTGGGGGCTTCCGGCAGGAGGGCCGGACACAGACACAGCCATTAAGAGCCTGGCCCTGGGACAGGTCTCCAAGGTCCCGTCCCACCCACCCCCCTCCCCGCAACAGACTTGGGGGACTTGGGGGTGGGGTGTGGAGCAGGGCGCTTTCTAAAAAAGACCTGCATTCCCGAGCAACTCCTGAAAACCCGCAAAGATGCTCAAATCTCTGGTGGCCTAGACCCGTGTACCAGCTGCCCAAAGGCGTTTGTGCAAATTGGCAAAAACCAACAAATAAAGCCCACAGACCATTTCCTCACACATACCAGCAGGCCTCCGCTCCGGGGGACACCCTGAGGCACTGGCCCAGCATGACCCACAGAACTGAGCTCCTGGTGAGCCACCCTCGCAGGCTCACACTGGAGCAGGGGCTCTCTCAGGCCCAGCAGGCTGCCATCAGGGCCACATGAGAGCCCAGAGCCGCCCACGTCCACGCCTTGCAAGGCCTCCGGGGCTGCACATCTGCTCTTCGGGGCCCCCAGGCAGCTGCACTCCGTGTCTACCCACGAACGGGCCCTACGGCCTGAGTGTCTGGAGCATGGACCGTGCCCCACCCCTGCAGCTTTGGGTGCCCAGCAGCCAGAGCCTGGCATAGCCCAGGGTTCGTGGGCAATGAAGAGACCCAATTCAGACTGCCGCAGAGACAGACTGCCACCTACAGCCCAAGACTGGAACATGTGGCCCACACAAGTCTGTTTCACAGTCTTCCATTCACCTCACCTGTCACTAGATGCCTCTCCCTGCTCATGCCCAAACTTACCTCTAGGCAGCCCCAGGCTCCAGCTTACTTGGCAGGCGCACGCCTGCTTCCTCCCGCCTGTCCAGCCATCTCTCTGCACCTGGCTTGATGCCAGCTGTGAGGACCTGAGCTCTGGGGCAGGCTGTCCCAGTTCAAATCCCGGCTCTACTACTGTTGGTGTGTGACCCCGGGCAAGTAACTTAATCTCGCTGTGCCTCTGGGGTGTCCCCTGTGAACGTGCATGCTGACATGTCCGAAGCACCCAGGACAGCGTCTGGTGCACGGCAACACCCACCACAGAAGCGGCAGCTACTGCGACTGTCCGTCAGAGCGGTCAGGGCACCAATCCAGGCCCAAAGAGAGCCGGGAAATGCCCAGTTCTGCTGCTCCTTGCACGGGTGGGGTCACTGAGGGACAAGCGCACAGACCGTAGTGGGCAGGTGCAGCTGACTCAGGGCGCCACTGGCCCCCGCCGGCTCTCTGTCCTGAGCCTCTGCCCCTGCTTTAAAGGGCAGGAACGATCCTGTCCCGTAGAGGGTCCCTCAAACCCTCCCTGTCCTGACAGTCACAGCCACCTGAGCCTGGCCACAGCCTGTGCCTCATTGCAGCAAGGACAGCACAGGCACAGAGATCAAGCTCACCCCTAGATCCACTGAGCTTAGGTGCCCAGTTTCAACCCACTATTAGCAAGGGTGAGTAGCTTCCGCAAGAAGGCGTGACGTCAGCAGTCTCAAGGGGCAACCAACAGGCACAGAGACACGTGGAGACGGAGTGAGCACAGGAGCACACGGTGTGCCCGCCGAGGGCCCTCAACGCCCCCGGTCTGCTGCCATCAAGCACAGGAGACAGCGTCATCACTGACACCCCAGTAAGAAAGGGTTATCTCTTTCAAAGGCATAAAACTGTGTAATCTAGTATTTAAGAATTTCTGTCAAAACAAAACCCATGTAGGCACTGCACCTTTGTGGGGCAGCTGGGACAGAGCATCACTGAGAAGGCCGACCCTGCTGTGCCCCGACCTGCCGGAGCCCCCGGCATCCCGAGAAACACTGAGCCCTCACCTGAGCAGGGCCCGTGGGCCCAGCCTCCCACCTGTCACCATGCCTGCCTCTTCTCTTCCTTTTTAGATAAACCACCTTCAAAATGGGGGGGCGGGACTTCTGGGCAAAAGCAACCTCTCAACAAGAAACGCTCAGTCACCAGAGGAAGGCCCTGTTCAGTGGCATTAAAAAGCCTGGGGACTTCCATTAGTCACTTGTTTTACTTTAGGATGCTGAGTCCTGTGTCCATCTCAACCCAGAAGCCTTGCCATCCCAAGAAAAGAAGCACTAAGCAGGGCCTGGCAAAGGAGCAGCGTTCATGGCATCAGCTGCACAAACACTGGACGGCAGGCTCAGGGGTGAGGGCCGAGACCCGACCCCCCCAGCGACTCCAACTCCTGTAAACAGCTGTGAAACACGTCCCCTTTAAGGGGACAGCTCGTCAAGAAATGGGCCGAGGCCAGACCGGAGAGGATGCCAACTCTCAATGTGTCACCCTCAGTTATTCAGGGACACACCACCAGCAGGGGCAATGTGACGCCAGCAGCATCACAACCAAGAGGGATGATTCCAGAGGTGCAGACACCTCTGCCCAGAGACACCAGGTAAAACCACGCTTGCCGGCAGGACAAGGTGCCCTCAGCTGGAGAACTGGAGCCCACAGCACCTAACAGCTACCGGAGGCCACAAGGCCATGAGCTGTCCAGCACAACATATGCAGGGAGCAGGTGTCACCAACACGTCAGTATTTCCATGGCCAATCTTCCGAGCAGTCACAGCTTAAGAATACAAAGAGCCTCACGTCAGCTTAGGTTTTCCCGCTGAACGAGGTTTCGGAAATGCTGCATACAGTCTGATTGCTCACTCCAAGTTCTGGTTCCTCTTCCCTGTCTTTCTCTCTGATGAAGGAGGTCCGGAGCAGCTAGATAACATCCATGATGATGTTTTAGACCAGAAACCCTCCACCTGCTCACCCTTCAGGAGTCTGGACCATCTCAACTGAAGACTGAGATTGCAAAACAACTCACCGGTAGTTAAAACTACTAAGACACTTAGTTACCACTTGCAATTACTTATCTGTGTGACTCAAGATTCTTTATATTCTGTGATCAAAATGAAAAGTAACAGTTTTTGGATGCTCAGACTGACATAATATTTGACTCTCATTTGTAATTCCAAAGTTGAACTGTTTGAGTTTAGCAAAACAGCTTTCTAGTTCTCATCATTCAACTTTCTAAAGGGTTTAACTTTCTAAAAATTGTGAACTTATAGCACAGCTTTCATGTTTTAATATGAACTTTAAATGCAGGTGCATTTGAATCTTAAAAAGGTACTCGAAACATTTAACATCCATTCCTCATAAAAACACTTTAACATAAGAAAAATCAGACATGGCAAAGAATACCCAAGACAGAAGCTAACTAAATGACTCCGTAATGAAACAGCAGACGGTCCGTATCTTGCCGCTGAGAGATGCAGGGATGCCGACAGCCGTGCCGACAGCTGTTCCGACAGCAGATCTGACTGCAGAACTGATCAAGAACCGAAGCCACAACGGTGATGAGACGAAACACCTGTCCTGGGCGAATCCCCACCACTAGCTGAAAAGGTGCGAGGACAGGAGCAGAAAATGACAGCTGTGTGCAGTGGCCACACACAGGAAAAGACACAAATTAGTAACTTACATGCCAGCAACACTCACAAAAACTGAGGGAAAGCAGGCCCGTTACCACTAGCACAGAGAACGCATCTGAGAGTTGTCTTAGAGGCCACACGCGTGGCCTCTGTATAGAAAATGACGTCCCTTTTCCTGAAAGAGGAAAGATCTTAATAAACAACTTACACGGGGGAGCGCTACGCCCGAGTTTAAAAGTTCATATTCCCACATGATTTTATGGGTTTAATGATGTTCCCGTTACAATTCCAAGAAGACCATTTAGACCCCAAATGATTCACAAGTTCTACCTGGACAGTCCAGAAGGAAGAAAGCAAGCGTGCAAGGATTGGTGCCCCCAGAAGGCGAAAGCTGGCTGGAGAAGTCACTCAGGTAAATGACAGGAGCAGACCGCCCAAGAACAGATGCCCCACGCAGGGGGACAGGCATGGCCGGCCCCGCCAGCGGCTGGGGTCCCTGA